AAATAAAGTCCTAAAATAGAGATAAAGCATACAAGGATGTAAGAGACCTCAAACAGAAAAGTATCCTTAATCAAACATGAAGAAGAGCTCAAAATAAGACTATTTTCAGTTTACATCAAGGCTCGAAAATGCTTGCAAATGGAGCTAAAGTATAGAGAAAAATAGTGCAAAAAAGGGATAAATGAAGACTTACCCTTGTAAAGCCGACCCTCAGCAACTTCTGGACCAAGAATGTGACTCCTCAAGCTCTGCAAATGACCTCCAAGATGCTGGAGTGGATGGTGGGGGTGGTAGGCTATGAGGTGTAGTGTAAAATGGCCAAAAATATTAGGGTTTGGAGTTTGGAGAAGAAGGCTATGGAGGATGGAGTGTGTATGCCTTGACCAAATGTCTAACCCTTGCAAAATGAGATGGAGGGTTGGTTATATAGAGGGAGGAGGCCATGGCTTTTTTGGAGAAGCCAAGAGAGAGGCTCAAAGCTTCTAAAGGAAGCTTGACCAAAGGGGTCAAGCTTCTTGAAGAAGCTAGACCAAAAAGGTCAAGCTTCCTCAAGAAGGTTGACCAAAGTGGCCAATTCCTCTTTGAAGCCAAGCAAAGGGGTGAAAACCAACTTAAAAGGGGCCAGAATAAGGATAAAACCCTCGGACAATAGGTCAAGTATAAAACAGTTGGCACAGCTGGAACACACTCAGAGAGACAAAACTGGCCGACCAGGGGTCAAAAGGTTCAAACAAAATTTCTGGCCTGCTACCCCAAAAATGTGGCCTCCCAGATGAGTGCAACATAGCTGTATAGTGAAAAACCAGAAAATGTGACCTAGGAGAGAGAAAAACTAGCTTTTTAGCAAGGTTCAAAAGGGTCAAGAAGAATTACTGGTCGGCTTACCCATATTGGTGGCCTCCCAGATGAGCACAACACAATGGTGGTGTGAAAAACTAGAAATTGTGGCTCAAAAGTGAGAAAAATCAACTTTCTGTCAGAAAAATTGGCTTTTGGAGAGAGAAAATGAGAAAACTGGTTTTTTAGGGGAAAAGGTGGCCTCCCACCATCCTACCATCTTCCTAACAATGAAAATAGGGTCTCTACCAAAAATGGACCAAAACGGATGCAAAACGAAGGTTTGGGGGCCAAAACGCGCTGTTCGGGGCCCCAAAAGCAGGCTGTTAGGCACCGGAAGTGGCGTATGACCACGAAGGTGGTCTCTCGGGCCAGAGTGTCCCTCAAAAGGGAGGAAACAAGGTGTGTGCCAAAAACCAGAGCAAACGGAGGTGGTTAGCGGTCCCGAACCGAGGCACACGGCCGACGGCTCCGAAAAATTGAAAACCGGGCTCTAAACGGGAAAAATGGCCTACGACCACGAAACGTAGCCTACGGCCACTGAGAGATGGTCTACGAGACCTCTCCCTCCCTTCGGGAAGAGAAAACGAAGGAAACGGTACCTGGTTCGCAAACCGAGGCAAAGTACAAAAGAGTCCAAAAGTCCGGAGGTAAGGCTCGCAGCCGAGACTCTGAAACCTCAGAACGAGCACAATATGCAATATCACCGAGCGCTCAATTGGTGACGTCTGAGTCTTAAGGTCGGTCAAAAATGGGGTGTCTACACCAGCAGTAGATTAACTAGCCTATCCAGCTCCAGTTTCTCCCATTCATACAACTCCCTTCTAAAAGCTAGGAACCAGCCATCTGCTATGGTTTTCTTATTAACCATAACACTCAAAGACTCCTATTTTTCCATAGACAACCTAAACAGAGATTGGGAATTCATCCTTCAAGCAGGCAGATTGACACCATATATTAGACCAAAATCTGATCCTCACCCCATCCCCTACCTTCAAATGGAAGTTATTCAAATAGAACTCCTTTAGGCTATTACACTGATCAGCAACAGAGATGATCCCCTTCCAAACTGCTGAGTAACTATTGGATGGGGTGAGTGATGGTATCCAACCACCTACCTCCATCTTATATTTGCTGCATATAACTCTTTTCCATAAAGCATCCTTTTCACTACCAAACCTCCATAACTATTTGATTAGCAAACACTTATTTACATCCCTAAACTTCCTAATGCCCAAACCACCTTGATCCATTCTTTTAGACAAATCCTCCAATTTGATCATATGGATTTTCCTTCCCTGTTCAAAACCACCCCGTAAGAAAGTAGCTTGAATCTTGTCCAATTTTGAAGCAACCCCTTCAGGCATCTTGAACAATGATAAGTAATACACTGGCAAGGCTGAAGTTACTGCTTTAATCAATATGAGCCTCCCTGCAAAAGACAACATCTTCCTCTTCTATCCAGCCAGCTTGCTTTTAACTTTGTCCACAACTGGTTTCCAAGTGGCCTTCTTTCTTGGATTAGCACCTAATGGCAGCCTTAGATAACTGGGTGGCAATGCTTTAATTTTGCAATTCAAAATTGTAGCTGTTGAGGATCGGGGGCACACCAGGGAACTCAAACAAGCAATAACACACAAGTTTTAACGTGGTTCGGCAAGTCGCCTACGTCCACGGGCAGCGGATTCACTATATTGAACAAATGGTAAGAATTACACACTCTCTGTAATTCTCTCTCTCTTTGCTCTCAACTCACACCTCTCAGCTCCACACCTGATGATTATATCCTCACCCTCCCGTCTCTATTTATACACAAAGGAGTAGGTGGGAGAGCCTTCACTCTTGACTTTTGACATGGTTGGTGGCCACCAAGCTTGACTTGGTTGGTTGCCTTGGTAGGTTGCCTTCCATTGTTGACATGAGGATCACCCCTTTCACATGGGGTGACCTCCAGAATCTGTAGCCAATATTCAACAGTAGCCATATCATTCATCATTTCCATAGAGACACCCACACCACATACAACGCTCTTGTGAAAGTTTATTTTTAGGCTAGACAAGATTTCAAAACATATAAGCACCCTCTTCAACTTTCTCACACACAGATAGAGTACTTATCAATCAAGAGCTAGCTAATTGGTTTAGACACTTTAGCTCAAGATTCAGTATATTTATATATATGTTCTAAACTAAAAAGTAAAGATAAAAGAAACTAAAATAGAAAAATACGAAATAAAATTGAACTGTTCACCCCCCCCCCCCGGGCGTTCCCCCCCCCCCCCCCGGGGCGACGTGGAGTACACATAATCTTCTGTTTATTCTCTTCTAAAATCTCAGTTTTTGTATTATAACAAGATGAAAATATTCTATTTATCCAAACAATTATTGGAGTACACATAATCTTTTGTTTATTTTCTTCTAAAATCTCAATTTTCGTATTATAACAAGATGAAAATATTCCATTTATCCAAAAAATAATAATTAAAAAAGTACCTTAAAATCTGATTAACCAGTTGCAATTGTTGGAAGCATTGATTGAATATTCAAGGATCGGATGCCCGTCCTCAACAAGAATTTAATTTTTTATAGTCTTTTGTTAATAATTGGTGTGATGATATATAAAAGTTGTAGAGGAGCGGAGCCATAATTAGAATCTTGATGACTATAAAAAAATAAAATAAAAAAAGAGTGACCTTTGCTAAGGAGTTTCCTAGCTACTTAGGTAACAAAACATCAGTTTTTGATTTATAACATAATTATTCAGTCAGAATATTCATTACCATGTCTGTTTAGTAAATGATTCCATTGAAAAGTCAGTGAATAGTCATTTGATAATGTTTGAAATCATTCGAACGAACCAAACACTAATAATTTTACAATTATCAAATATCTATTTTTATGGAAAATATATAAGCATATTAACTAGTATCGTATCCCAAGAGCATCCATTATAAGTTGGACAAATTAATAAGAAAATTGTAACTTTGGTGGTTAAAATGCATTTTCCAAAATTTATAAATGTTAAATAGTGGGTACTTAAGCCAACTTCTGTATCATATGCTTGGTTGGTGATGTTAACAGAAAAACGAAAGAAATTGTCATTTGAGTGAGATTGAAGTCTTTTTCACCAAACACTTCCGAGAAGAAAAGAAAAGAAAAGAAAAAAAAAAAAAAAAAAAAAAAAAGAGTTTGTGGGTCGCTAGCTTTTTTTGCTTGCATTTTCAGGTACCTCAGTCGCATTAAGAAATGTTCATATCTCACCTTCCCTGACTTGTTTATTAAGATAAATGAATTATTAATTTATATATCCACATTAATTCTGAATTATGCACGTAATTAAGCCAGTTAATTAACAATTTACCACGATAATTTATAGGACTTTTCGGATGGTAACACCAAATTAAATGCAGATAACATTCTCTTGGACTGATTAAATTAATTCAAATTCTTTTTTCATTTTCATGAAGTTTTGTTGACAAATATGACATATTTTAAATAAAACTAATTATATTCAAAATTGTGTTTGGCTGTTTTTCTTTTTAGAATTTATGTGTCAATTTTATTTATTCATTTTTTACTTTGTAAGTGCTTTTACAGTAAAAACCCAAAAACATTTTTTTTAAATCAATAAAATCGGACCTTTTCTTTCAGATTTAATTCATTTTTAAAATAAAAATATTAACCTTTTCAATTCTAAAAAGCACCTAAAAAGTTAAAAATAACCCCAAAAAAATCTAAAAATTTATCAACCAATTTATTTTTCTTTATAGTAAAAGTAAATATTGACATTTAGAAAGATCATGTGATCCATATTCAACTTTTTGTTACCGCTATCTTTAAAATGAATAATATGAATTGCAGATAACAAATATTAACGGCATTTTTATAGAATTAAATAATATGAATTGTGAGTTTAAAAAAAAAAAAAAAAAAAAAAAAATTGTTCACACAACATCACTATTAAAAAAAAAAAAAAAAAAAAGAAAAAGAAAGAAGGGCGTTTTTATCATTCAAATTAAAATATTCTTTAACGGCCATGTGAACAAAACAGTTTCACTTTACACCTTTGCTTCTAGTAGCCATTAACTTCCTTCTGGAAATATAAAGTGGGGTTTTAAGCAGTGAACCAACAACCGCTCGAACTAAACCAACAACCCCACCCGCTACACCCAGAATTTAAAAGAGACCAACAGCTGCATTGCACAAGCCACAGTCTCTCTCTCTCTCTCTCTACTGAACTCTTTCCATAACTCCGGTGTCGATTTTCAGCCAGACTAGGGTGATTTCAAGAGTTGTAGGAGCCATTTCTTTTACCAGTCACTCATTACTACATTTTCAAGGTCTCTCTCTCTCTCTCTCTCTCTCATTCTTGAAGGTAACTAGCTAATTACACTGGCATATTGTTTTCATTCAAAAATGTTACACATTTACATATATCATAACTAAGGTTCATTCTGTTTCCCAAAAGTTTTTTTTTTTTTTCATCCATTGTATTTCAAAAATATATATGAAATATACATACGTGCATATGCATATCGCTTTGTGTTTGTACGCCTTAAGCTAATCATGCTTTGCTACTTATCATTTTTTTAAAATTATTTTACAAAAAAAAGAAGAGAAGAAGATAGCATAAATTATGTCAGTAGTATTTGTAATTTGGTTTTAATGCCATTTTGATTCTCGTAATTTTAATTTTTTCAATTTTGAATTTGTGATTTCTTTTTAATTTAGTGTTGTTGATTCTAACTTAACATTTTTTAATGGAAAATGTGTACATTAGTAGCAAGTGTCATACTTTTAGAAGTAATAAACTTGCTCAACTTATTGAGTTAATTCCAACCAATTCAGTAATTATTTTTCATCAAAAATACTAGCATTATCAGTTAGACTAAATTGAAACAATCTGAAAGTAAGGATCAATATTGAATCAATTAAAAATGTAGGATCAAAATGTTTCAATTGGCAAAATGTACCACCTACCTATGTAATTTGTGAAAGGATATTACTAGGATTGTTCAACCCTCAAAAAGATTGGAAGCCAATGACTTGGTATCAATTTTTGAGCTACCTATTAATGATACAATAATGATACATGCTCTAATGGCATGAAAAATAAAAAAAAAACAAAAAAAACACAAGACACAAACATCACTATCACAATAGAATTCACACTCCATTAGAGCTCCTTTATTAGAGTTTCAAAACATTTTTGATTAATGATATACAATAATACAAAATATAATTTTTTAAAAAAAAAACATATTTATACAAAATGATATGGCCATTTTTGTTCTTGTAAAAGAATAATGCTTGGGACCCCCTTTTGGGGTTCACCCCCTCACCCCCCCTTTGCCACGTGGCGGGTGGTGATTGGAGGAGCAGGAAAAAAAAGAAAAAGAAAAAGAAAATGTAACCAATGAGAGAGAGAGGGGGTCAAAGGGGGTGGGGGAAAAGGGGGGATGAATCATTGTTGATAAAAATTTTATTTGTTTTTATATTATTTTTCATTTACATAAGTCACTCAATTCTCATATTAAAATTCTAAAGTCTGCTGCATTATTGTCAAGTCTAGCAGAACTTAACTTGAGATTAATTAATAGTGGCCTCTAATTATAAAATGTTGTGCACATCTCACAAGTTATGGCGCTAATCTTCTTCTTCTTTTTCTTTTTTTCTTTATTAATTTATTAATTTTCTATTTTTTAATATTTCATATGGAAGATGGGAGAGATGTCAGGGTTCCAGTTGGGTGTTTTAGGTGCACTGTTTCTTTCCGTGGCATCATCAGTATCCATTGTCATCTGCAACAAAGCCTTGATGAGCAATCTTGGCTTCCCATTTGGTAAACTAGTCTTTTCCTCTATATTCTCATCAAGTTTTTTCTTTTTACTTTTTTTAAATCTGAAAAAAAAATAAAAAAAATACATATATTAAGGTTTTTCGTTTGGATCAAAGGAATTTTTGCAGGAAAAGAAAGGAAAAAAAGCTTTTATTTCATTCACCTAATTTTATTCTTCAACAACCTTGTTGTTTTTGTAATTTATTTTATAGTATGTGGAGGCAAGTCATTTTCCTTGACAAATTGGTGGTTAGAAAATCATTGTCACTGTGTGCAAAACATACTATACCATACTATAACAAGGATTTTGACAGACTGTCTTTGTTGCTAGAGCATGATCTGATCTAATTTGTTTATAAGATTACTACAAGCATATCCCAAATGAAATAAAGGTTTAAACCTTGTTTTTTCTTTCATTTTAAGGCATGAATCCTTATGCTGTGTTTGGTTGGGGGATTTGGGGAGGGATTTGGAAAGGGAAAGGGAAAAGGTGTGTGAAACTATGTGAAATATATGCATGATTTATTCACATTTCACCTACATTTTCCATTTCCCTTTCCAAATTCCTCCCTAAATCCCTCAACCAAACACAGCATAAGTGATTCAATTTTCCAACCCCTGCTATGGACCAAAACCTTGTCTTTATAATTTGTTTGACTAATAACAAGTTAACAACGCATAAGATAAAATATTTAGTAAAAAGAAATTTTGGCTCAGGAATCATTTGTATTTTTTTATTTTATAGCAATTGTTGAAATTAGTCCAGAGTCCATTGCTTAAATTATCAAACACTTCAAAGCAAAATTAGACTAAAGGATTTTCCTAGGAATATTCTTTTCTCTCTCTTGTAATGTTTTATTACCATTAATAAATTATTAGTGTGCTTTTTTTTTTTTTTTTTTTTTTTTTATTTATTTACCAAGGAAAAAAAGGGAAAAGAAAAGAAAAGAAAAGATCTAGGATAGTTCACTAGGATATTGAGAATTTGACTCTCTCCACTTACATGTGATTCTCATATTCCGTATATTTATTTGGGGTGTTTTGTGCTTATTGAATTTGTCGTCTATGTCGGATTTCATGTTGAAAAGCTATTTTGATGTAATTCTCATGACATTTATAATTTATCTGGACAAAAAAAAAAAAAAAAAAAAAAAAAAAAAACAACAACAACAACAACATTGTGGAAGGATGAATTGGCCAATTATACAGTCAAAGGCTATGAGGAACGATAAACCATAGTTGATTTCATTTTAATGCTTCATCAAAGTACCCAAAAAATTAGTGTTTGTAATCAATAAGTTAGATGATTTATATTTATTTTTAATTTTCCAGCAACCACACTGACCAGTTGGCATTTGATGGTAACGTACTGCACTCTACATGTGGCGCAACGCCTCAATTTTTTTGAGAACAAGGCAGTCGACATGAAGACTGTCATCCTTTTCGGAATTCTAAATGGAATTTCCATTGGATTTCTCAACTTAAGTCTTGGATTTAACTCCATTGGCTTCTACCAGGTTTTCTTAATTAATTTGCTTATATTACATTATCAGTTTAATTGTTTGTGTCATATGGTAAAGATCTAAAATAAAATTCAATTATATATATATATATATATATATCATTTTTCATGACTTAAATCCTGTAATAAAATTAATTTTCTCCATATTCATGACTTAATTAATTTTCTTTTGTCCTTTACTTTGCAGATGACCAAACTTGCAATCATACCTTTCACTGTGCTATTGGAAACGCTTTTCTTGAATAAGCAATTCAGGTTATTATATACGCATGAAATTTTGAGAAAATCTACTACTAAATTTCTTTCATTGATCTGGGCTTTTACAGATCACAGTACTCATAATATCAAAAAACAAAAAAACTCTCATTAATTTTCCTGATTGAATTCTTGCAGCCAAAAGATTAAGCTCTCTCTCTTCCTCTTACTAGTTGGAGTTGGCATCGCTTCCATAACTGATCTACAACTCAATTTAGTCGGCACAATTCTCTCCCTCCTAGCTATCGCAACAACCTGTGTTGGTCAAATTGTATCCTTTTTTTTTCTTTTTTTTGAATTTCTTCCATTTCTATTTCTTTCAATTCAGTATCCATTGCAAGAAATGGCTCAAGTAACCTGGGTAGTCGCTAAGTGGTGAAATCTAGGATGAGTCGTAAATTTGGACGTGCTACTTTTGATGATTGCAAGTAATTGGGATTTACTCTTGCAAAGATGGGCTTAAAAATCCTCTCCAATAACACAAGTGGTGTGCCTTTTCAACAGTAGAGAGTATTTATCTTATATTTTTCAGACAAAATAGTCATATATCTCCTTATTATTGGGTGAGCACATAACTATGTGGTAGGGTAGACAACTTCTATTGTCATTTGGCCTATGCTAGATTACTTAGTTATGGATGTGAAAGTTTTCAATTATCATGTCAAAGTACAAATGTGGTTTGGCTAATGCTATACAAACTTTTTTTTTTTACTTAGACATCTATCATGCTATTAAAGTCGATTTTTATTTTAAATTCTATTAATCAATAAGATTAAAGTAAGTAATAAGTTTGCCTTTAGAGTGAAAAAGTAAGGTATTTTTTTTTCCTCTTAACCTAATGATCTATTTTAGCTGACAAACACAATACAAAAGAGGCTCAATGTCTCTTCTACACAGTTGCTGTATCAGTCTGCCCCATTTCAAGCTGCCATTCTCTTTGTCTCGGGCCCTTTTGTCGATCAGTGCCTCACCAAGCAAAATGTTTTTGCTTTCAAATATTCTCCTATTGTCTTGGTAATTTCTCACCATCTTTTGTTTTCCATTATCATTTATGTGTTATTTTACTAGCATATTATATTAGAAAGCGTGATATACATTTTTAAGTTTATTTTCCAGTAGTCTAAATTCAAGCATCATTACTAGGGTTTGTTCTCTTGTTATGTCTGCTATTGTTTTTGTGCACTTGGTTGGTTTATTTTGTTTGACTCTCAGCGTGTGAGATTGGTGACACTTTATTAGACCAATTTTCAAAGAAAAATGATGTGCATGTCATGAATTTATGCCGAAGCCAACTGGTCAATTATGATTAGCCATAGGCTTATGGGCCCTACAAGAGGACCAATAATAGGGAGCTCAAATGAGTCAGTTTTAGTTTAATTTTAAGTTGGAACAGCCTTACTAATTTCTTAATAGCTTAAGTTATTTTAAAAAATTAGCATCTTAATTAATACAACCAATGCATATGAATCCACAAGAATACTATTGTTTATAACCATTGGATCTTTGTGAAAATGATTAATGGCTGATTGCCTTTTTAAAAAAATTGAAAAAATTTGCAGGGATTCATCATACTTTCATGCTTGATTGCGGTTTCTGTGAATTTTAGCACTTTTTTGGTTATTGGGAAGACATCACCTGTTACATATCAAGTGCTCGGCCATCTGAAAACATGCCTTGTTCTTGCATTCGGCTATACATTGTTGCATGATCCCTTCACTTCCAGAAACATCATCGGAATATTGATCGCCATCCTTGGAATGGTCTTGTATTCATATTTTTGCTCCATTGAGAGTAAAAAGAAGCAACTAGGCGACCTCTCAGCCGCCTCTCAGGTACACCTCTCTCTCTCTCTCTCTCTCTAATGAGAAAGTATGTGTATACAAAATTAAACTAGAAAAATATTAATAATGTACGTGTCAGCACAATGGGCTACTTTTAGTGAAAATAATGACAAAACCAACAAAGATGGATTCTTTTGGTGGGTCTCATCATGCTGATATGCAAGTACATTTTTTTTATTTTATTTTTATTATTTAATTTTGTGTACGTAGATTTTCTCCTCTAGAATATGATGGGAACTAAATAATTGGTTTTATTGTGTGTAATTGCAGATTAAGGATAAGGAAACAGCAGCACTTTTGGGGGGAATGAACATAGGTAGTCAAGAGAAAGAAAGTCATGAGGTTAAGAAATCAGCCAAAGACTCTCTTGTTTAAATACTAGTTGTAGGCTTGTGACGAAGAGTTTATGTGTTAAGATCTCTTTCAGACATTTGATGTGTACATGAGACTTCAGACATTTGATGTGTAAATGAGACTGAAATTCTTTGAAATAAAAGTAAAATCTTTTGATTCAATTGGTCTTTCCTTTATTCATACACAGAAAAATTAAAAATATAAAAACGTGTACTAAAAAATGAAGTGTGTTGTCAAAAATTAAAATATTATATAATGTAGGCCACATCCAAAATGAACTTAGACAATTGTTTTTTAATTTTATGTGCATCTTTCTATTCGTAGCATTGGAGGTTGTAGTTTGAGTTGGAAAAATCTCAAATGAAATTTTTTTGAATCCTTGAAAAATTCGAGCTACAGAAGAAAGAATTGTGAACAAAATCCAAAAAACCACCATGATTTTAATTAGTTTAGCAACCTTGTCCTTTTTTTTTTTTTTTTTTGAAAGATTGGGAAAAAAATTTTTTTGAAAAATTAAAAATATAAAAACGTGTACTAAAAAATGAAGTGTGTTGTCAAAAATTAAAATATTATATAATGTAGGCCACATCCAAAATGAACTTAGACAACTGTTTTTTAATTTTATGTGCATCTTTCTGTATTCGTAGCATTGGAGGTTGTAGTTTGAGTTGGAAAAATCTCAAATGAAATTTTTTTGAATCCTTGAAAAATTCGAGCTAGAGAAGAAAGAATTGTGAACAAAATCCAAAAAGTCACCATGATTTTAATTAGTTTAGCAACCTTGTCCTTTTTTTTTTTTTTTTTTTGAAAGATTGGGAAGAAAATCTTTGTTACAAAACTGATAAAAAATCGGATCAATCTTGTACAATGGTAGTAAAAGATCTTATAAAGAGATAACAAACTTCCGTAGGAGGAATAATCCTAATCTCCATAGAGGAGAAGAAAAAACTCTCACAAATGAGGGACATTTTTTTTTTTGATCGGCAAAAAAGAAGCTTTATTGATGGAAAAATATAACGAGTATGGTAACTTACATCAATAAAGAAAGATGGTGCAAAAAGCATAACATTTAGATCCCAACTAGATTGGCACCTAGACGCACACCAAATCATCTGCTAGCACACACACGAGGCTCCAAATTGGTGAGAGACCAACATAAAGAGCGGACCAAAACAAAACAAAAACAAAAGAGCAACAAAAACACTCCTCTGCTGGAGCATAAGACAGAAACACCAATCAACCACACCACGATAGGCCTATGAGTCCATATCAGCCCAAAGCACAAGACAGAGGCAACCACAAAGCAGCAGACAACAGAATGCATACTTGAACCTTTGCCTTCAGCCCAGAATCACACACTTTCAACCACAAACAGCAGCCCATAGACCAGCAGAGACCATACCAGCAGTGACTATGAATTTATAGCTGTAGCTGAATATTAACAGAACATTAGCACCACCACAGGGTCATCCTAGAGCAGTAATATACTTACCCATCAGATCAATAGCAGACCAGAACAACATCCATAAACCCTGCCAGATCCGGAGGTGGAGGACCAGGACACCAAAAACAGAAATCCAAGTAGACCAACAGCAGACCAAAGGCAGGGCACCAGCCCACCCACACACTGCAGAGAACAAACCAACAGTGGCTCAGCCCACCCCCAACCACAACCATCTCAGCAACAGAACATTAACAGATCATACCCAACAGATCATACCCAGCAGAGCCATGCTCACCCTCCAGTTCTGAGACAATGCTTGACTTGTGGCAGATTAAAGACCAAGTCATTCATAGAGTACTCCACCTGGATTGGCGATGCTTTAAGCCACATGACTACTCTCACCTTCACTATTTCACACAGATCCTCCAAATTTGGATGAGATTCATTAAAAATGCAATCGTTTCTATGCTTCCAAGTAGACCAAAGGATAGCCAGGAGTAGAACCCTCCAAATTTTCTTTTCCAGCTTTTTCAATCGACAGCCAAGCCACCACTGCATCAAACCATCCACCGAACCTGGAATTACCCACTGCACACCCCACCATCTTACTATGTTGGACCATACCAGCCATACAAAAGGACAAAAGAGAAGAATGTGCTCTACTGTTTCAATCTCATTTTGACAAAAAACACAAGCCAGATTAGCACTGCCATCTAAGATCCCCAGCCTATAAAGAAAACTAGTGGTCTTTACCTTGCCGAGCCAAGCCAACCAGCCAAAGAATTGCACTTTGGGAGGGGCGAAATTGTTCCAGATTGAGTCCGCCATTGCTTTTACCGGCCTCAGCAGTGATTTATTCCAATTGTAGGCTGAGGCAACACTAAATACCTCAGAAGGATCTGCTCTCCATTTTAACTCATCAGGTTTGTTATTACAAAATACTGGAGCATTGCGAAGCAAGTGGAATAATCTTTGAACTTCTTCCTCTTCCCAGGCCAACAAGGATCTTCTTAAATGCATAGTCCACCCACTAACACCAGACCTTTGCTCAAAGAAACCCTTTACCACACCATTTTTATCAGACGATAAAGAAAAAAGCCTAGGGAATTCATCCATCAGACACACATTACCCACCCACTTATCCCTCCAGAATTGAATTCTCCTCCCATTCCCTAGAGTAGTATGAGAGTTATTAATATAGAAGCTATGCAGCTCGGAATTGGACGCAATAGTAGAGATGATATCAGACCAAATTTTAGATCCTCTGCCTACAATGTTTGGAAACCATCTTCCATCCCTAACATCATCTTTTGACAGATCACTTCTTTCCAAAGCGTTTGATTCTCTGCACCAAACTGCCACCACCATTTCAACAGGAGGCAATGATTGAAGAATGTTAACTTCCTCAAGCCTAAACCACCTAGATTCTTATGCTTCGTTACGACATCCCATCGAACCATGTGAATTTTTCTCCTAAGTTCTGAACCACCCCATAAGAATGCCGATTGCATTCTCTCAATCTCCTTGGCCACCCCAGTAGGAATCCTAAACAGTGATAGGTAATAGATTGGCAAGTTGGACATAACAGATTTGATTAGAGTTAGATGCCCAGCAAACGATAGAAGCCTTCTCTTCCAGGAGGCCAATTTCTGTTTAAACTTATCAAGAACGGGTTTCCAAGTGCTTCTCCTACTTGGATTAGCCCCCAATGGAAACCCAAATATTGAATAGGCAGTTTTTGATACAAGCAATTAAGGCTAGCAGCAAACTCAAGCACCAACCCATCATCCACCCCAATACCACAAATAATGCTCTTATGGTAGTTAATTTTCAAACCTGAGGCAATCTCAAAGCATCTTAAGATGCTTTTAATGTTGCTCACCTCTCTCCTATTAGCTTCACAGAACAAAATTGTGTCGTCCGCGAATTGTAAATGCGTTACTCTTAACCCATTTGAACCCACATCTGCCCCTTTTATGATGTCCAACTCCTTGGCTCTACTCAGCAAAATGTTGAGGCCCTCCGTGACAATATTGAAGAGAAATGGTGACAACGGATCACCCTATCTAAGACCTCTTTGGGGACAGAACTCAGGAGTTGGAGACCCATTTACCAAAACAGAAATCTTGGCCGAAGAGACACACACTTTCATCCAGCGGACCCAGCGAGTTCCAAAGCCAAACTTGGAGAGCATGTCAAATAAAAACTCTCAATTGATGGAGTCATAGGCCTTTTCAAAATCCAATTTAATCACCAAGCCTTTTCTATTAGATTTTCGCCACCCATCAACTATCTCATTCGCTATTAGAACACCGTCCAAGATATTCCTACCTCCGAAAAATGCTGACTGAACCTCACTAATAATCTTAGGCATCACTTGTTTCATTCTATTAGCAAGAACTTTTGCTAGTAATTTATACAAGGAGCCAATCAGACTGATAGGCCTATACTCATTCAAGCAAGAAGGACTTTGAACTTTAGGAATTAGGGTTATAAAAGAGCTATTAATCCCCCCAACAAGACTTGCATTCTGATAAAATTCCCTCATGAACTGGAGCACATCCATTCTCACTATTTTCCAGCATTTCTTAAAGAATGACATGTTAAAACCATCAGCCCAGGAGCCTTATTACTATCATAAATCCTAATGACATTTTTGATTTCCTCCTCTGAAAATTCTGCCTCTAATTGTTCCATAGCTTGCACTCCACCAATACTCGGAAATGGGCCAGACAATTTGGGCCTAACTTTCCAAGCTTCAGCGAAGAGCCCCATGAAATGTGCCTGAACTTCAGCTCTCAGTTCCATAAGATCCTCAATCATTACACCATTAGCTAATATTGAGCAGAGGGAATTCCGGTTATTTCTGTTGCATGCCAACATGTGAAAGTAACTTGTATTTTTATCCCCTTTAGATGCCCAATTCACTCTAGATTTTTGCAATCAGATCCATTCCAACATTTTACTTAACCTCCACACTTCACCCCTGACCTCCTTGTGCTTGAACAATTCTGCTTCAAGAAGGGGTCTTTCCTTAGCTAACAAATCAAGGTTATGGGCCTCGTCTTCAGCACTCTTTAGCTTTGGCTCAATCTTTCCAAACACCATGACATTCCACTGTTTTAATGCCTGTTTCAGAGCTTTAAGCTTCATAAGACATTTATAACCTGCCCAGCCTTCCACTGCAAATTCTGACCAACTTTGCTTGGCAAATGCTAGGAAATTAGGATGTAAAAGCCAGGCATTGAGGAATCTAAAAGGCTTGGGCCCCTAGTCCCTTTCATCCTCCATTAAGATGATAGGGCAGTGGTCAGACCACATTCTAGGGAGACCCCACAATTTGAAATTAAAATTCTGTACCCATTCGTGAGTGAGCAAAAAATGATCAATTCTACTCCATTTCTCACTAGCTTGAGAATTGCACCAGGTAAACTTTCTCCCAAGCATAGGCATATCTATTAACTCTAGTTGCTCAATCATACTGTTGAAATCTCTCATCCCTCTATCCCTCCTTGAGCACCCAATTCTTTCTGAAATACTCTTAATTTCATTAAAATCACCCCCCATGCACCATGGCCCCAAAAAACTAGATTTCAATCTGACTAAAGAATCCCAAAGCTCTTTTCTTGTAGACACCTCATTAGGACCATATACATTAATTATAACACATTTAAAGCTAGAAAACAGTGTACCTGAGAGCAAGATGAAATTGCGATTACTACCACAAGCCTTCAACTGGAACACCTCCGGGTTCCAAATGCATAGCAGACCTCTAGCCCTTCCAATCGCATCAACTGCCATAAATTCAAAATTATCCCCAGGCCACATTGACCAAACCAAGACAGAGTCAATTCCAGACTTCTTTGTTTCTTGTAGAAGAACAATGGCCCTGTTTGGTAGAGCTGTGGGAAAGTACTTATACCTTATGCCTAAACAGCTTATAGCTTATAACTATGAACATAAGCTGATTTCTGACTTATAAATTAAGCATCTCCTGCCCTACTAAAAGAATAAGCTGATTTCTGACTTTCAAAAAGCTATAAGCTATAAGCTAAACCAAACTCATCAAAATAGTTTAAATTAAGCTGAAAACTGAAATAAGCTGCTTTTAAGTTCTGCCAAACAGGCACAATATCCACTTTCCTCTCTGCAAGAATTTTTTTTAGCTTCCTCCATTTTTCGGGTCTACCAATACCCCTTACATTCCAAGATTGTATCTTCATGAGCATAACAAATCATACTCTATAACAGCTGAGTATCAAACTCAATTGGCATCCCATTCCTTATCCCGAATTCTCTGCAAATCTTGAGCTTCAAGTGCTGCCAGCTTGCTGATCACCTCTTCTTCTTGTCCTTGGCAATCAAGTCCAAGGACTTTACCGATTTGAATAGATGCTTCTGCCTCTGACCTCAAAAGCCGACCTCTACTGTTACTACTCGCCATTGAAAGCGAGATGGCAGCTACGGCCGACCTAAAGACCGCTCATTTCCGCAAATTCAGAGGAGCTTCCCCTACTTTCCCGGTTACCCCCATCTTCCTTTTCGGCTACTTCTTCTGCATAGATGATTTTATTTGTTGTTTGCCTTTCGTCTTCAGTTGAGCTTTCGTCTGTGGACACATGACAGTTTCTTGTAATTGGGTTGAATAAAAGGTTTGTGATTTACTACTCCCAACTTCAACAAGCCCAACAGCTCTTAGGACCGACCCATTTAGCCCAGGCCTCGTTTGGGCCCTATTCAGGTCCACTTCGAGTTAAATTCCAGCCCTATTGCCAGCTGAACCACTAATACTTTTCATAAAACCAGGGGTGTAGACAATACCATCAACCCCACGACTGACAACATCATCATCACAATGCTTGGAACTCATCCCCAATTCAGCAGAGTCCCTTTCGCATACGCCACCTTCCTCTGACCCTTCCTGCCTCATTTCTGATTCATCCACCAGAGAGACATCCTTCAACCTATCCTCCCCCATCCAACTCAGCCTCAGCAGTGAGTGGTAAGTTTTGACCCACCCCAGCCACATCACACCTGCTGCGTAAGGCCTCATCCACCTGTACCTCCACATCATCTTCTTCTTCCTTATGCCTGCTATTTTTGTCTAGAAGCTGATCAGCTTGAGCCCCCATTGAGGAGCATTTCTCGCCGTTCTTCCAATGATCGGATTGGGATACACATGAATCACACGCTGCCTTATAAATTATAATTTGGTCCTCACATACCCTTACTGGGTAGATAGTACCTCTACACTCCAGGTTGATGGATTGATTGAGGGACATAACCTCCACACAAGGAAGATTATTACAACAAATAATAAAAATAAAAATAAAAATAAAAAAGCAAACCAAAAACAACTAGATATCCAAGTTCCCAAACGCATCCAAAGCTTTATTACACTGTAACTGTCAACTTGAAATTTGAAGACCCCACTTTCGCTGGTCAAGATGGAATATTGAGGTTGAGGTGGTCACCTAGCGTGAAACGAACGCGTTAAACAACGTCGATCTTCAGATTGTGAGAAGATGTGAAACCAAATTGAAAAATCTAATTTTATCTAACAATGTTTCAAAAATCTAGATTTATCTCGTGACAAGTGATTATCGATTTAGGTAATCCAATTAAAAATTATACCACCATGATCAATGTAGATGAGAGAGAGAAAGAGCGAAAATAAAACCATGACACAAAATATTTTTTACTTGAAAAAATCACAATTAGAATCCACCAACTTGTGATAAAAACCCATGGGTCCTCAGCAAAGCGAACAATCCACTATGAAAGAAAATAGTACAAGAGATATCCTACAAAGGTTAATCTAGGCTCACACGTTTGTTCAACTTACGAGTCATACTTCTTCCTTTACTGGATCTCTACAACAGTTGTCGAATCGCTACGACGCCAATGACTCCGGAATCTACCGAAGTCTACAATCTTGGAATCTATCGAGAGGGTTAACTTTTGGAAATATGTGAAAACTTATTCCAGCTTGATGATTAGCTTTGAAGCTCCTATAGTCTTAAGAATAATCAAGCAAATGAGAGCATTACAAGTAATCCTCACTACAAAGTTCACTCTCAAACACTTAACAAAATCTCTTTACAAAAATGTATTTCACTTATAAAAATGATCTCTCAAAAGATTAAAAAAGATACTTAGAAGAGCTTTGAAGAAAATGCTCATAAAAGGGTTGTAAGAGATGCCAAAATGAATCAGCCTAGCATGCCTTAAATAGGCCTGGGCCAACAGTACATCGCGGCTGTGGTCCTCTAAGTCGCGGGCATGACCATGTCTTTTGCGGGAGCGAGCCTCCTTCGCGGGATGCAGACAAAACTTCTAGGAGAATGATTTGGTCGTGGCCTGGACGTGGCCTGGTCGCGGGCACGATTGTGAAGACCACGGGGTTGATTGTCTTATTCGAAGGCATGATTAAGCATGCATGCAGCAGTTTTTTCAGACTTTTTTGCTTCATCTTTTGCATATTTTCTTCCACATTTTGAGCCATGATTTTTCCCACGCTTTGCCATCCTATCCGGCAGACAAATAGCCACCCTACAACCTTTCTTTTGCTCACATGATAGCTATCAAATCTATGACCAAAACTTTTCTAAAAACTTCAATTTTATTAGCTCAAGAAAGATGGTTTCAAATTGATTGTTTTCAACATGCAACATCAGCTCAAGATATTTGTCAACTTTTTCCAACAAAAATCTCAAGTGTTTATTTCAAGAAAGATCAAGATTCATCTTTGAGGCATGTTTTGAAAATTTGTTCCATAAAATCTCAAATTGATTATATCTAAAATTTGTAAAACCAATAATCAATTGACCACATAATCTTTGAACCAGGCGCCACCATCAAAATTGACTTGTATCTTGATTGAGCATGAAACATCCACAACTTGAAAGACCAAGAGTGTAATGAGAAAAAACAAAATAAATGAAAGACCAAAATAACAAATGAAATTGTTTTGTCATGCAATTTGCCAAAACAAATTTTGATGCAACAAAAGTGTAGGATTAAAATTTTTAACAATCTCTTCCTTTGACAATTCCGTGACAAAACCCAAGATCTTGCACAAAAACTTATTAGAACAATTTCACATGAGAAAAGCAACACATGAAAACATTTCATAACAAACCAACTAACCAAGATCCATGTTCAAAGACAAAAACCTAATAAAACTCCCTTTAAACTAATACAGATCTTAAAGTTTTGAGCGCGAGGTTAAAAGTTTGGGCGCAAGACAAACATCAAATCTAGAAGAATGGAAAGAGGGAGAGGGGGACGCTAACACCGGTGGTCAGAGGCAAATCTGGTAAGGGTGGATCCATAGAGGCAGGAAGATGGCTGGTGGCGGTGTGGTGGTGGAGGCATCGAAAAGGGTTGGAAAGACAAGCTTCCAATATTATTTATATATTATATAAGCAAAAAGGGATTTTTAGTGAGGAGTCTTGTAAGAGTTTCAATATCTAATTTTCTTAATTTTAAATAATTAAGAAAATCTCTATTGGCTAGCTTTCATTTAACCATATAAAAATAAAACTCCCACATTGGGAAAAGAAT